ATTTTTCCAAAATTAGGCTAATTATTACTAAAATTCTAATAATTGAAAAATGTGTGCTAAAAATTTTTACTTGCACAATAGGCCTTCTATTTTCGGGTGGCATTGTTTTGACAGTCTGATGAAAACGATTCTGCCAAGTTACACGTGGCGGTAAACGTGGAATCGACTCTGAGTTTGTATCAAGCCACGACGTTGCCGAAGAGCTTCGTATTGAGTTCAACCGATACATTCTTCGAGGATTTTCAGAGTTCTGGAAAACTGTCAAAATGAGTGAGCGCTTTTTAGCCTTAACATGAAGTATTGCTGTTTGCTTGGCACAACATTAAGCACCACCGCTTGTTTTTCGCAAAATACCTCGCCCGCCACTGCATGGAATTTCATAATTTGCTTGTCGCAGCATGAAGTGCCGTCAAGCGTGGAGTACTGCTGCGTGTTTGTCACGGTGTGAAGCACCAAACCCCGTTAATCAGATCATGAGGTGCTGCTGCTTACATGTCATAAAATGCTTGCTACAGCATAAAATACCCACTGTTTGTCATAGGTTTTTAAATGAAATATGGTAATGCTTTTAACAATCAGTTAAAATACCAAAATCAGTTAAAATACTCTGCAAATTACACTTTTTATAAAATTGCTCATGACAACAGTCAGTTAAAAAACCAAGAAATTCATACAGTTCTTGCATAATCATCGTCCGAGTAATTAGTTTCTTTCCTGTTGTCGTCTGTTTTCTCCCAGGAATGGTGCTGAACAGCAGTATCGCTGTCGTACTGATACAGCAGTTCTGCAGCTGACCGTTCTTCCTCTGTCCTTCCATTGCCATCCATAAGTGCTTGTAGCGGTCGTGGAATAGTAATACCAAGATCTGATAAAACAATTTCTTTTCATCTGAATCAATAAATGCTTGATCAGATTTCGGCTTAGCACTCGCCGATTTGAGTGAAATTTCGACTTTTAATTCTCTGTCCCAAAGAGAGTAACATGATTCTGAGAATTTTTTTTATAGAAAGTAAACTACGAAAAGTCAAACGCTAGGAATGAGAAAATTTGTGACGCATTTAGTCCAGGACTTTAGCAGAAATGCTATAAACCAGCAAACGCGCGGTTATGTCCGACTATGTCATAAAAAAAAACATATACTATATTTTTTGCCAGAGAATGGACGTCAAAGAGCCGTCTTACGACGCAAACATCGTGGTACCCCGACAATCTTTAAAATACCGATATTTGTTTGATATCAGGTGCCCTTAGGCAAAATTTTAAACACTATTTCATGAGCAGATATTAGCTAACAATGAAATATAGTGAGAATATTAAACGCCAAATCCCATGGTACATATGAAAATCGATAATTTAGCTGATTGTGGCGTTTCGATTATTTTGACCAAAACGTCAAGTTGCAAACACCATGATTTATCTCGCTAACCTCCAGTACTCTTCTCATGATAATCGATTATAAGCTTTTAAAATGGTTCTTACCATGAATGACGTCCATATTCTCCTTAAAAAATGATAATATTTGCTGTTCTCGGTTGCTTAAGCCATACAGTAAAATACCGTTAGGCCGTCTATAACCCAATGCAAGATCCGTTTCCTTTGCAAAAACTTCTCTGTTATGTTGCGCTGCTTTTGGAGATTTCTGCCTCTGAAAATCACTGCTTATTGGGATTGCTTTGGATAAAATCAAATCGCTTTCTTAACAGATGACAAAAAACATTCTTATACAAATCAAGGCTAACTCTGTGTAGTTCTAATATTTTTGGACTGTGTCTATTGCCAGTACAAACCATATTACGTAAATTCAGGTTCCAGTCTCGACGCTGACTCTAGTCATCTCCAATCTTGAATCTTGTTTCTAGTCATTCAGAGCATTTTTGGTCCATCGTTCTTTATTAAGGCAGAGTGTTCTGCAGTCATCAAGCAGCGGGGTCCTAGCACACAAATGTTTGCTTCCCGCAACTCAGTTAAATTTCAGGAATCCCGCAAAATTTATACACTTTTTGCTCCATCTGCATTTTTTGTTGATGAATTTTTTGCAAATTGCTTGATTTTTTGCTACCTCTTCCCTTGCAGATTGTCGAACTTCAACCGTAAATTTAGTAATATCCGGCGTTTCGCTACGGAATTTTTGCAGTACAATGGGACTCGCAGTTCTTCTGCAGCGGGTATGCTCTTTTTGCTTATCGGTTGCTGAAATTTAAAAGAACTTTGGCAGAGTATTTGGCCCAGTTGACTCTATTGGTAGTCTGCTGATAGCTACTAATATGATTCGAAACGTTTTGCGTTGCTGGCATTTTTGACGAAAATTAATTAAAATGTGCTCAATCACAATGCGACCAATTTAGTGAATGACTGAATGGTTGATAGCTGCAGAAGCTGGTACACATTATGCAGCAGTCTTATGAAGTGCCTGTACAGGTGACCTCCTATTCCGGCATCTAAAATATACTAAAAGTTGGATTGCATGTACATATGGCTCATGTCCGTTAGATGCAGTGTAATTGCACGTCGCGAAAATCCTCGAACTATACCGTATTAGCGAATTTCACTTGTTACATAAGTGAAAAACTGATCAACCAAACATTACATTTCAATGCCTCCTTCAAAAAACCGAGAAAATCTTTTAAAAATATGCTTTGATGCTCTTTTTCAAATCCAGACTTCTCCAATAAATGAATGCTCACGTGTAGAAAAAGTACCGCTCTCAAACCGTTTTCTTGTTTCCTTCGAATTTGCAATCGATTCATGAATAATGTTTTTACGTATTGCTTTTCTATCGTACCATGGTTCGTAGTCGAGCTGTAGCATGCTTGCACTAAGTGAGCTGCTTCTGCCCAACTTTCTTTGCTCACCGTAAGCTTTGCGATGTAGTTCCTCCTAAAATTTTTTGTAAACAAAATGGAGCCTTCGGTGTTGTTCTACCACAGATCAAAAAGAAAGTAAGATCATGTCCTATATATATATATATGTTTGCACGCATGCGAGCATTAATATCTATGCGGATGTTTCATCTGATAGAAGGTATCTCAGTAAATGACTTAATAAGAACGTGCACGACTTGATGGGCCAAAGTATCCATGTCCACCCGAACCAGAGAAACCTTCCCGAATTCCACCCTGCCTTGTGGTTTTAGATTGGTAAGCTGAGCTTCTGTCACCGACAGCAAATAAGCGTACTCCTACTTTGTCAGCTCTAGCGTTTTGTTCAGTTTTTTCCATCAATCTCAGTCGGCGTTCAGGCACATTGCTATCGACTGGGATTGTGATATTCTCGTGAGAAGCAAACAGAGATGCTGATAATGCATCATTCGAACGCCATCGCGGAAACTCATACGGACGTTGATAATGTTCGTCCTGATAAATCCGTTTCTGGAAAGTTTACATTATAAGGATAAACTGACGAAGGAAAAGAAGGGTAATGCAAAAACTTTAGGCCTAAATTAAATTCACATGAGAATTCAGTTTTGGAAAAACTGCTGAGATGAAAGCGTGTTTAAAAAATTTGCAGTTTCTCCATATATTGCATCAATACTGTTTCAACCTATTTGACCCACATAGGATTTAAGCCCAGAAATTTATTCGATGCGTCAAACGTGTATGTTTTTAAAATAGATGCGTTCCTATGGAGTCAACCGCGTAAACAGAAATTTTTAGGAGGATTATTGTTTTGCTAGTTAACTTTGATGTTTTGACCAGTAGCAATTTACAGTTTCACTTTTTAACTATGCAACTGATCGCTTTTTTTTCGACTGGTACTACACTACATGTAACGGCTACTCCTAAACCATGATGTGGTTCATGTGTTCTGCAGAGTACTTTTGGAAAGTTTCAGGGATAATTATCAAAAGATCATGGGGAAAAGTCTGGTTTGTTTACTAAATGAAACTTGAACTGTAGTGGCTGAAAATAGTACAGTAAAATGGAAATAAGCTAAATACTTTTTCTGCAAAAACAAACAGTAATTACGCGACCTGTGCTGAAACAGTTGCACAAAGCACATATTGCCGAGGCTCTGCTTACGTTTATGTGCGCTAGGTGCGTTTTATCCAAGTTTTCGACTTTGGAACCAGAGAAGACAGGAAGCTGAAATTCCAGGAGAACGTTCCCTGCCCACATATGGCCCTGCAAACTCAAATTCAGCTCCCGCGCATGCCCAGGTCTTGTATGAGAACAAGTGAATGTTTTGGCGTTAAAATCAGTAAATCGCGAATCACAAAATTTCCATACATATCAAACAGTAAGGCAGCAAACATTTTTAACAGTTAGGTTTCCTTGGACAGAAGTGCACAGGCTTCGGCTAGACAAGGTTGCACAAGGGATCTTCGAATACAGCTGCACAATCGCTTGGCAGGGCTGCGCAAAACGTGTGGTCGCACCAGTCATCCTGCTGTCCGCTGCCGTTTATTTCAGACCGATTGGAAAATGAAGGGAATTGCTCATCGGATAACAAACGCTAGTGTGTTCTTTTTGTAAAAAATGCATAAAAGCTTCAAATTCGAATTTTTTGAAATCTGGAGTGTAGATGTATTGAAAGTCTGGGCATCTATGGATAGTGAATTTTCAATTACCTAAGATCAGGCTCCCATAAAATTTCTCGGCTTACATTGCGTTTGAGTTAACACACTATCATTGAGTAGTCAAATTACAGCTTTCAAGCTGGCGTAGGCCTGAAGTTGAAAACTGATGGCCCACACATGAATGATGGCACAGGCTTTGCTAGCATGCATTTTCGCACTGGCATAAATGAACCCAGGCTGGAACGCACCAGGCGAGCCGGTGCGATCATGCGTTTTTGCATCAAACTTTG